CTGAAGAAGTTTCTGTCTGATAATGGTGCACAGTTCACCTGTCGAGCGATGGGAGGTGTTCGCACAGAGTGGGGAGTTGAGCAGCTTTTTATTTCGCCGTATCATCCCCAAAGCAACTGGGTAGAACGTGTTAATCGCAACCTGAAAAGCATGATCCGTGCATTTGTGGGCAATGACCATCGCTCGTGGGGTATCCACTTGGCAGAGTTCACTTTCGCCATGGATTCTGCTCACCATGACACAATTGGTGTTGAGCCTTCCATGCTCATGCTTGGTAGGATGATGCCATCTCTCCTCATCAATAAATGGAATATCCTGCCCCAGGAGGATGCCACTGTGGATGCAGAAACACTCAAGCCACATGTGGAGGCTTGCAGGCAGTGTGCCTACGCCAAATGCAAGAAACACTATGACAAGTGCCGACGAGCCACCAACATCTCGGAGGGTAGCCATGTGATGGTGTGCACACACCGTAAGTCGGATTCAGCTGCCAACTTCAATGCGAAACTGATACCATTGTGGCGAGGCCCATTCGTGGTGATAGAAAATCTGACCCCAGTGAACCTGAAACTTGTGTTTAATCCATCTAAAGAGCTTGTTGTCCAAGTGGACCAATGAAGCTATGTTGAACTCTAGTCCATGGATATCATGGACTGTCTCTTATTATCACCTTGGACTAGAACATTCAAGTTTATATTTTTTTCAGTGTTTTTCATGTTTTCATGTGAGGCAAAAAGACCAGGAAGTTTGAAGAGCAAGAACAATACGGTTCGCTACTACACCTACCAGTTATAGTCACTACACGCAGCGCCCCAGGTGCAGCGTCCACACTATACCTCGCACAGTCACAGCACAGAACGGTAGAAAGCATTTCCAACCTGGTAGTCTCCCTTGTAAGCCTTGTGATGGTAGTGGCGATGTTGGTAATTAGCCGACTTTTAAGTTGTTCCCTAGCAATTCGCCAACTTCTTAAAGTTGTTCCCTAGCATGCTGGTGGGTTAACTCAAACCTGTCACCCAGGACTTCTTTGTAACTCCAAGGATCCAACTCAGTTCTCTGTGAAGGACTACATATCAGGTTGAGTGGAGATTTAACCTCCCTCCCGAACATCATCTGATTTGGCGTCAGGCCAGTGCTTGCGTGAACGGAGGCACGGTTTGCCATCATAACAGATGGGATGTAGGTATCCAAGTCCCTCTGATTAGCAGCAGTTTAGGAAGACAGGATTGTTTGGAGCAAACCAACTGCCGTCTTTGGTCGGTATGTATCTGGTGAGGAGCTCCGAGTCTACGGACGAACTCTCTCACAAAGACTTCAGCAACTGCCTGTGCATT